TAGAGCAAACAATCAATATGGAAGGTTTTCTTGACAAACACCTATTATGTACCTTAGAAAAAAGAGCTCACATCAACAAATGAGCACAAACAGATTTTTGGAGAGCCAGTAGTAGCTGAGAATACTGAGATGGAGATATTAGAGTGGGACACAGAAGCCCATTGTTCTGCTGGATAGCTTTACCTCCATCCTGAGGCCAGAGCAGATTCTCCATGGACCTCTCCCTCCTTTTCTCTCCCTCCCTTTTTCACTTCAGACTGTTGATTTATTGAGTCATACATTAAAATGCTCATTACTCCTACAGACTTTCCAAATTCCCTATTTCTCCTAACACTCTGGTTACTGTCTTTCTCATGGAAGCACCACCTGAGAAAAGGGTTTCTGCATTTTGGGGTCCCACTATCCCAGCAGTTATTGGAGCCAGACAATCAACATATGAGCAAAGGAAAAGGAGTATAGGTGGAGCGACAGTATGGTTGATTTTCCCATATCTATACACTTCAATTCTTAGCTATTCCCTTTTGTATTTGACTTGAAACTAAATCAAAACCATTGGGCTTTGTGTGGGCTACATGGATGCAGTATAGGAACTCAGTCTGCAGCCGTTGTCCAGGCCCCGGTGCCTCCTCTTATGTTCTGACCTTTATGAAAAGGATAGGAGTCTGTCTACTCCCTCGGCCAGGTTACTCCAGGTGAAAGAGATCAAATGCAACCATAAAAAACCTAGACATATAGTAACTGCATTGACTTAACAGTACGCGTTTAAACTATGATCATTCGAAAAAGTTAAGGAATCACGGTTGCCCTTTGTTCCGACAAGATATAACGGATATAACTCCAATCTGAGGTTTGAGCTCCAAAAGTGTTACATTGTCCAAATAAACTTCATTGTCAGGAAAGACTCTGTAATCTCAACCAAACCAGCTGCATCCATTCTCCTAGTCCTGCATGGAGCCTGCTTGGGGCCCCTGCTGTTCTGACTATGTTCCACTGCTTGTTTTCGGGCCCCGCTTTTGTATTCCGACATTGTATGGGACATCTTATCCTTCTTCCCTTCTCTTCTCATTTGTCTATCCTCTCCAGCCAGCCCCTCCAAATCCGTATCCATCCATCCATCTGCCCTAAATCCACTTATATAAGGAGATAGGGTGTAAATATTTTGGTGTGGAGTGTCAGCGCGTATCTCCCCCGCCAGAGGGGCCGGCAGCCTCAGTCCAATCAGCCATGTTTGTTTGTTCAGCTTAAACTGTGTGTGCCTTGTTTTCCGTGGCTTGTGACTCCCTCCAGCTAGAATAAAGTGTCACACTTGTTCTTTTTTGCCTTTCCCCCCCCCCCCCCCCCCCCCCCCTCCCTCGCCGTCTGTGTTTCCTGGAAGCGAAGATAGATAAGCCCCAAAGTGTGTATATGTGCGCTTATTCACGCACCAAGAGCAAGAGTGTGTATGTGTGTGAGTTGTCAAAGCTGTCAGCATGACTGTTGTTCTGGCCTACAGCCTAGTGTCGAACAGCAGCCGTGCAACAAACACAAAACATCTGTTCTGCACACCACAGTAAAAATATCATGATGCAACCCATTTTCTATTGATCAACCAACAATACGCCGTGTTTACAGACACTTCACGGAACATGTCAACATCTGCGAATACTTACCTGTTGAGGGAAGCTTATTTCACACCAGTGTCATCATTCCAGTATCTACTTTTCCAACTAATAAAAACAACTCCCGACGTGACCTAAGTCAGGAAGTGATCTGCGCTGTCCAAACACAATGTCACAGCCCCTCACATATATCCAATTCCAATGTCATGGCTGCAAATCTCCAGGTGGATTTTTGAAAGAGTGACATTCTCAGTGGACAGCTTATTTCTTGCACGCACCCCTTCCTTCCAACCACACAAAATAAGCAATCTGGAGATTTGTAATGGTTTTTTGCCGGGCCTGCTAATGTATTTCATGCTTGTTTAAGATCTTTGCATGCTCCTTACAAAGGTGCATTGTGATAGGTGTTCCTTATTACCCTGCTCTGTATAGAGTATAAACACTGGTGGCTGGGAGAGTGGAGGATAGTGGGAGGGAGGCATGAATGGCTGATATGTTTTTTTTTCTGTCAGTCTCTTCTCACTCTCTCCCTCTCCGGTGATCTCTGCATGCCTATTAATGTAGCAGAGGAATGCCTGTGTAAACATTCTTGTTTCTCAGTCCGTTTCGCATAATAGTTGCCTGTATCGCCTTTCTCCTGACCCCACTATCTGAAACCAATTACACCAGATCCATTTGGGCTGAATCTTATTTTCATAAGGATCTCCGTGTCGCGGTCTCGGTCGCTCTGTGTGTTATTTTCCCTCCTCTTATTTTTTTTTCCAACCTCAGTGATGGATATCAACATCAAATATGCCTCTGAGTGCCTTGTTATTTATATAGCAGGGCCTGGCTCTTTCTCTCTCCCTCTGTGTCTGGCTCATTCTGAAGAATGTGTCACATTGTGCTGTTTATACAATGTGTGCATTAATAGACTGGGGATGTCATTTTTCCTTGCATAGCAACGCAGGTTAAATAGACGGTGCGCCTCCACTCGTCTGTGTTTTTGTCCGCTCCGGCGGCTCTTCAGCAAACTTTTGATGACTTTCCGTGGCGTTTTGCACTTTTTTGTGCTTTGAGATGAGCTCCAGCTTGCCATCTCTGTGGAGTGGGAAGTGGGTGGCACAAATTGGTGCTTTTTACTGTAATGGCTGAATACACCGAGCCAGTGTAAGTGAGCGGACAGGGCTTTCTTTTTTTTTTTACCTTTTACCGGAGCAACTCTAGCTAACCCCACTTCTTCAGATAAACCACTCTGGAAAAGTTTGGCTGGTGTTGATAAGGTCTGTGTTATGTTTGGAGAATACTTTTTATGCAGCCCGAACAGACTTCCTTTCGAATAAGCCGGGTGAAGTTGATCTTCCTGCTTCACCCCGTCCATTTGCCTGCCATGGATATTGGAAATGGCGTTAAAAAACGTCTTTCTTCTTAACCGTGTGTGACATATGGATTGGCTCTCTTGACTTTGAGTCATTATTGATTCACACATGGATAAACATTTCCTCCTCACAGCTACTTTGGCTTGCATTCATCAAGCAGCCTTCCCTCTAACTACTGTGTGCAAGACTCAATAAACCTTATAATTACTTTGATTCACCAATCACGGGCAAATTAATTAGGCCCCGTGTTCTAATTAGCGACGTGATTGGCTGCATTCAAGGAATTTGTTTTGTCTCTTGCCTTCAGTAAAAGGAAGTCAACAACGTTTGATTTCCAATCCGTTTAAAAAATAAAAGAACAAACATCACATGGCTGTGTTTGTCTGCAGGTGTTGATGTGTACTTTCAGTGTGTGCTTACTTTTTGCATGTGTGTGGTTTCCAAAGAAAGGCCATGGCTCAGCTTACAGATGACACACACACACACACACACACACACAGACACATATAAGCCGATGGCGACTAGCCTCCTCTTACCAAGGAGACGGATCAATGCAGTTAGGACCGAGTGCCAGTGTAATGTGTTTGTTTACTTCACTTCAGAAAGCCTGTCTCCTCCTGAGCACCCAGACAGACAGCCCATCCTCCACATCAGCCCCCCCCACCTCCCAAGCTCTGTCTTTTCATAATTGATCAGGAGGTGGCTGCGTTCCCCGAGGGGTTAAGACATGGCAACTTTTTTTTTTTTCTCCTCCTTCTCCTCTTGTTTGCACTGGATCTCAATGTACTAGTTCAAACATTGTTCCCACCAGCTGGCAGAGCAGCGCCATATGCACGCCCTGTCAAGGCAGCTGTTGTCATGGATACTGGCAAGCACCATAGAAAATAAAATGAGCACCCCTGATTCCCGAGGAAGTGTCACTCTCCCAATCCCAGTTTTTTATTTATTATTTTTTCTCCTCCTCCTACTCGTCCTCTTCCACCTGTGAAGTTGTTGTGTTGTGTGTGTGTTTTTTCCGCTCCTCCTCCCCACCCACTTGATGCTCATGGGCCCTAAGAATACGAGGTAGTGTGGAGCAGCGGTAGCAGCAGCTGTGCACAATGTTCTTTCCTGCCAGACTCTTTCATCCATCTGCTCTTGAAGAATCGGAGTGAAGCTGCTAGCCCAGCTGCCACCGTACCTGTGAAGCAGGAACCGCTCGTCACACACATTCGGTACACACAGCCAGGCAAAGGGGGGGCATCTGTAATCCCATCAAACCCTAGAGAAATAAATTACACCACATCCAAACCTCTCTGATCCCTATCATCTCCCATGTCTGGCAAACTCATCAAACGTCATCAATGGCAAATTTCACAAATGTTTTTCACCACGTGTAAACAGCTTTGGGGGTAATTTCACCACACATGGAAAAGGTCTCTCTTCCTCCATCTACCTGTGCATCTTTCTATCCATCTAGCAGCACCCACCCTGTGCTCATGAGCATACTCAATGCACAGCGTGAAACCTGTGCTGCTAGTTAATTCACTCTAAATGTAATCTGATGTTGATTTTGTCAACTTTAATTACAGCTCCCAGGGACACTTCACATGGCGCTGCCTCTACTTCAGATTGATATTATGAATATGCAAATGTGGTGGTAATTTGCCGAGAGAAGTGGGTATTTCAGTTGAGCACACACTAGACAGGTCAATTTTACCGAAGCTCTGTCTTTCCCCCCCCCCACCCCCTGCACCTCCACCCTCTTCTTCATGGGTGCTCTAGACAAACTATATTTATCTTGATCACAGCTCTGTGAATTGTTACTAAAGCGTATCTCCAAGGTGGTGTTAACCACGTCAGAATGTGTGGCGGAAAGTAGCAGGTGATATTTGACAGCGTTTTCACTCACAGATGACTGTTTTGTCCCCGAACATGTGAATTATCTCCGCTGTCAGCTTCAGGAAATCGAATAGTTTATTTTCAGTGTTTCCGCCCTCCTCCCCATCTTTCTTTTTCTACATTTGTTCACACTGTCTTTTGTCTTGTGTTCCTTTCTTCCCAGGCCCTACAAGCAGCGAGGCAATTACTCTTGCAGCAGCCAGGCAGTGGCCTGAAATCTCCAAAGAGCCAGGACAAGCAGCGTCCACTGCAGGTAAAGCAGCTCCCCGTCTAATCTCTTAAGTCCATCCATAATACATGCTCCTCCGAAAAGAAGATTTCCTCTGTTCCACAAGTGTGTTTGATTTGCTAACGCAATCCTCCACACCTGCCATTGGAATCTTAAAACTGGACAAGGCCGTCCCCAGGAAGCTAAAACACAAGAAAAAAAGAACAGGGAACAAAAGTTGTATCCGTCTGTGTTCAAATAAACATCATCAAACAGGAGGATTATTATGTATAGTATATCCACAGGTCGAATGGTAGCATGACAAAACATGTTATCTGCTTTTCTACACTAGATCCATACCATTGTTGACACTTCCAGAGCTTAGTTATTATTTCAAAGACATGTCAGCCTGATACAGATGGCTAATTTTAACCGCCTGTCATTCCCACTTTTCACAACTAATTTGCCTTATTGATTCGTAGAGCTGTCTATTTCTGTTGTCAGTGATTTGGAAAAGGTCACACTTGTACACACATATGCAAATTAACACATCCTCTTTCTTCCTGGTGTGAAGATTTCTCTCACATTCTGCTCGTTTTAGACAGTGAGTTTCGCCTCAAATTACGTAATGCCCCTTGACATCTGCTCCGGTGTTTTTATTATTATTATTTTTTGATTCAATGTATTTTTAGCCGTTTGAAATTGAAGTGTGGGGACTCGGTGCCCTGCACTCGGCTAATAAGTACTATCAAGGAGCAACGCTCATTAGGGGCTCTGTGCATTTCATTAATGTCAGGGAAATTGGCGTTAACCTCACCCGTTGATATTTTCACAGAGTCTAACAATGGCGACACCTCCAATTGGAGTCACACCCCTGTGTACCTAATTACGCACAGGCGGAGAGATAAGGCTGGCGAAGACTCCGTCATGCTTCTGCATTTAAATAATTCACCTCATCAAGAGTGTCAATAGTATCCGTATATTCACACATATTGGCATCGGATACATATTTCTCAAAAGGTGTTTATTTATTTGAGTCTAATTAAACAAAAGGGTCTATTCCTTCTTCTATTTGAGGTTCTGTATGCCAAAGTGAATAGATTCAAACAAATCCTGATCTACAAATGCCTGCATAGTCACCACATGGCAGGAGGAACAATATTGAATGAGAGCAGTGTGGGTGCATGATAACCGTCAGGCCATATCCAAACCCCTTCCTCTAATAACACCAGCCCATGGTAAATATTGAATATTTACATTTGCTTACTCCATCCTTGCCTCGCGATATGAATCAATGTGAATCAGAGGGGCCTGTCGATCGACCCCGACCCCGGCTCCCAACTAATCCATGTGTTGATCCAGCTTTTATTAACATCCTCACCTCTTTGTTCCAAAAAGTCTCCTTATGGAGCGTCACAGGAGAGGCACCGCTCACTCTCCCAGTGATACACACCAGCACAAACACTGCTTTCTGGTTCAAGGTCCTTTTTACACTGCTGTGTTGCCTCGAATCCACTCATTTCAAATGACATTTTAGCTGTAATACTCCATTGTGTAAATACCGGTATGTAGCAGCAGAAACTCTGGCTTGATTAAAAATCCATTCATATTGTTTCTTCCCTCTTGTCAGTGCCAGAGTTTCTTCTCTTGTCTTGAGGGAGTATACACAATAAAGCTGCATTATTTACCTGGATTACGAGGCCACAATGGGTGCTATAGTGCAATATTTTATTAGCTGCACGGCTTGATAAGAGTCAATGGCAATCAAAGCGCATGTTTTCCACCGGAGGAATCAGGCACATTGATCCCCTTGTATGATCAGCGCAGCAGAAAGTGGGGAAAGGATTAATATTACCATGACATGCTGCTTATGGTAGAGATACTGATAAATCCTCTGCCAGTCTTTTTCCCCCTTGTTCTCCCATCTTTGGTATTTAAGAGCGGGGAAATGATCCATAGATCATGGCATGTAAATTATTTAGTACACAAGCATCTAAGTGCCTCAGCTTGCAGTTTTAATTACGCGTATTAGCGGCTAAAGGCTCTCGCCTGACTAATTCTATCCGCTCGCTCATCGCTGCTCCTCAGGAGTTGATGATGCGGAGGCAGGCAGCTCTGGCATCCACACACACACGCATGTAAAGAAAAAAAACAGCCTCACAAACACACATACAAACACACACACAAGCTGCTTCTCCACATTTGCGTAATGTGACAGGTCTATTATTACACAGTAAGCCCACGGGAGCACTCAATAAACACCTATTTCTCCCTGTAAATCCCCCAGCCTCCGCCATGCTGCTTACACGGCTCTCCCAAGGCACACAACACCCTCTCGTCTCCGTCTCCTCTCTGCCCTCCACTCCGTGGCAATATCCCCCCCCCCCCCCCCCCCCCCCCCCCCCCGCTGAAAGGCATTTATACACTGACATTTGGAATACAAATAAAGGAACGCGGACAAGGAGAGGCGGAGAGGATTACAGTGGCCTATGAATCTGACAGTTGTTCGCTCGCACACACACGAACATCTACACACACAAATGACAGTTACTTAAAGTTTTTACATTGTGACTTTGAGCAACTGTTGTTGTAACTGGCTGTATTGATGGGTATGATTAGAAACAGGGCAGAGCTTGAGTTAAAGCAGCTTAAATCCTTTGTGCAAAATGTTTGGAGTAATGGCTTATCCCACAAAATAACAATGCCAGATATTAAGGCGACACAACCACCATCCTACTCACACACCACCCCAAGACTCCCTTTGTGACACAACCACCACCTCTATATGTCTCATACAGTGTTATAGTTACTAAGAACTGTACTAAACATTTTGAAGTACTTAAGTTGCGTACTTTTAACTCAATTTATGAATTATAATGTATATTTACAGTATGTATATAGATACCCGGCAGCAAAAAAGTAATTGCATTTTACAGCTGCAAAATTAAATGCATTTACACAATTATGCATCACTCATGATAATCCAGTCACATAATATAAACTATGCATACAAATAGCTATTCTACCTAATGAGTACTTGTGGTTTTTCTTGCAACAGACTATTCTACACTGTGGTATTACTACGTTTACTTAAGTAAAGGATATGAGTACTTCTTCCACCTCTATGTGCCACAGGGCACTTATAACACAGCCAAATTGACCCTCTAACTCTGCTTTGTGAGTGTGTCAGAAAGGGGGGGCTCCACAGTGTGACCCCTTCCTCCAAACATCCAATTCCTAACCATGCACCCCCCACAGAGAGAGTGTTGCTGCTCTGCCCCTTTCACACTCTCAAGCTGTGAATACCTTTTTAACAGGACTAATAACCTCAGTCCCATCTGTGCAACGCTCCAACTCTTAACTACAAATATTTAAAGCTTTTTATGGATGGGGAGATGTTGGTTTAGCCCGGCGTTCTGTAAATGCTACGGCTTCCTGCCCAGGCCAGTCGAGATTGGCTGTGGGCACTGGGCCATCCGAGGAAGTGTCACACATTTTAAAGGTCAGGTCTACCACTGAGCCAATATCACCTCGATGGCAGAACTCATCTGCTTATTGGCTTTCATCCGGAACACGCACACACACACACACACACACACACACACACACACACACACACGCACACGCACACGCACACGCACACACACACACACACACACACACACACACACACACACACACACACACACACACACACACACACACAGATGCAGGGAAAAGGGCTGCGACGCTAGGCTTGAGTATAGGTTAGCTGACTACAGCGTGCATGGCTAAAGCATTCACATTTACATTTATGAATATATCTTGCCACTGCATCCCCTCTGGTTGGATCTGAAAATAGAGAGAAATTATCACTGCGAGAGGGGGGTAAAATAATATGTTATTCATGAGAAAAACTTCTGTTGACTCTGAGAAAAAAAAAACCCGTCAGCACATTTTAAGTCAAACAGCCTCTGTTACTGCTTTTGTAACCAGAAAACAAGATTTTCTTTCCCCCCTCCCCATCTCCCTCCCTACTTTTTTTTTCCCCTCCTGCATTTACAACACCTACAGGACAAGATTGCTAAATTGCGGGGACAGAGCAGGTTCATCATTGTGATGCAAAAGAAGTTGAAATGCAACCCCAAGGCGAGGTAGCTGAGTTTGGGGGATCAAGAGAAAGTGAGAGGGAGGGAAGGATAAAAAAAAAAAAAGAAAGTAGCTCAGACCTTTGATGTAGCAGCAACAAATTTACCTTGTGACAGAAGATACATGGGTGCAATAAACGAGTTATACCAGCCCTTACACATGCAATCAGATGATTCTGGCCAGGGTGTTAATTGGATCCTAACCGGCAGATCTGATACGCCTGGGCCCCGGTGGTGAGGGGGAAAGCCTTTCCAAGTGATGAACTATAATTCACTGAGCTGCTTGAAGCACTTGTAATTTACTGTGTGTCACTGATGAAGAGGCTGATCCAGTGGAGGCCATATTACCTGCAACATCAGAGGGAAGTGTGTGTGTGTGTCCCCCCCCCCCTCTTCCCCCACATTCTCCCTCTCACTTCTACTTTCTTTCGATTTCTTCCTCTCTCTGCACTTCCCCCCCACTATCCATCACCGATTTGCTCTTGAAAAATGTGCACCTGCAGGGAAGTATCAGTCGGGAGTGAATCGTGCCACTTTAATGATAAAGGTGCCACAATTTGTACTGATAATGACACAAACAATGTGCACGAGCAATGTCACACACAGCCACACTACATCGGAGAGGCTTAATCAATGTCTATCTGCATGTAGAGATAAATCAATGTGGAAATTGTGCTAAGCCCGTCCCCATCTCCTCAGGCTTTTTTTATTCCAGGCTTTTGCATGATGGGCCTTTTATGTTATGATAAATTGCACTTCCCTTGCCAAACTGCTATGGAAATTGATTTAGGGAAAACATTCAGTAATCTACTTAGCTTCAGTCCTGACAATCTGGAGTATTGATCTCCCCTAAGCTGGAAAACATGACGTGTGTGTGTGGCTCCTATGTGGTTTTACATAGTAAGATCCATGTTCTTCTAACAGACCACACACTTTGGGTTAGGGTCAGTGTTAGCGCCGACTGCCCTGTAGCCTCGGTGGTCTTTCAAGTGGAGAGTCCCAGCTATCAATAATCATATGGCCAGATTGGACAGTAATTGGCTAGTAAATGAGAAGTGCAAGCTGAAAGGAACTCTACAGGTCAGAAGTGCACAAGCTATGAGGGGGGCCTGAGTGTCGGCCCACTGGGACGCTCATGGGAGATGAAAAAGGGACGTGGGTAGTCGGTGGAAGCCCCTTTCCCTCTCTCGACGTCTTACTCTCTGTGTAAAAAGAAGCTTGTGGCTTAATTAGCAGCAGCTCCCTGCCAAGGATCCACAGTAATTACCCACTAGGACCCTTCCATTTCTCATCGCAGTTATCTTAAGCAGTGTCTGTAGCTCAGTCCCCTGTCCGGCGCTACAGGAACATCCTGTCGTTGATAACCGCCCCGTGCTCCTGCAATGTTTATTACCGACATCTAATCGCTCCTGCTTATTACTGCTAAGTGAATTGTATAGAAGGAAATCGAATGAAAAGGAATTCCTCTCCACTGGACTTTAATTGTTTAAGTTTGAACTCCACTTATCTCCCGCTTTAGGTGATTTGAGTTGACTCATTGCTGTGAAGATAAAAGCGCCACACAGTGGAGTGGGTGTAATTGCTGGAAGGGCTTTTGTCCACTGGTCCAGATAGTTGGAGGCAGGGAGCTGTGAGCAGTGGAGGTGTTTTGCATTTAATGGCAGATCGGCCAGTTAAATCAAACATAACGAGCAACTTTAGGTGCCAGCTCTGCCTGGAAGACATACCTGAGCTCTCCGTGGAAGAGCGTGACCTTTTGTGAGGCATTGGACAGGCTGGTTACAGGCGGGAGTGGTGTAATGATCTGCTTGTTCTGCTGAGGGCCCCACCAGTGTTTTCACATCAGGAGCCAATTTAAAGGTCCTTTGTTTTGCTCTCCAACTTTGAGGGCAACCACATGGCTTCAAAGTTCATGTCAATACCGCTCATCGTTCTCTTCAAGTCATGGCAGATAAACAAATAGGGGTTTGAATGGCGAACACGGTGAAAAACAAGCATTTTTAGAGAGCAGGGGTAACATTTCAATGATTTGCATCTCCCATTCAAATGGGCTCTTTTAAGAAACAGGAGAAGCACCTTTTTCTGATTAAGGTCCCAAGTGGCCCCATCAGCTGCAGCTAATTCCAAACCATTTAATAAATCCCGTTAATATTTTTTGTGCACTAGTGTTGGAAATGCATCCTTTTGGATTACAGAGGAACAGAGGCATAGCCCAATTGGATATCATGGCTGCAGAGATTCTATTCGCAGCGCGCGGATGTTTACGCCACTGCCATCGTCGAGTAAATGCTCATTAATTTTATCCCTTCGCGGCAAAATCATTTCTAGGAGAGGCAATTCAGCCTCCTGTTCCTTTCAATTCACCGCTCACGTCAATCAAGCCCTCGTGCAGTATCCTGCAAAATGGAGGTGTTATATTCCTGCAATTATCATGTCATATACTCGAAAATGTAAATGAACGCGTGTGTAAAATTAAATTTATGGGTTGTCAGTGAAGAATAAGAACCAGGAGAGCAATTACTTATCTGCTTTCATCTCAGAGCCTCTGATACGTCAAGCAGAAAAGCATGCAGTTAAATGCTGGAATTAGCATTGTGCTGCACTTCACAATGGACGTGGGCCAGCGCCTTTTCTCCCCTTCCTTTCTTTCTTCCTCCTGCCTTTCCTGCCTCTTCCTTCCCCTCTTTTTGTTTGGAGCTCTGGTGAAATGAAGAAGATTATCGGCCATTATGAAAATGAAAGTGTAAAAAGGAACTTCCCCATTTCATAACCTAGTTGTTTGCTGTTTCTTCAGCTGTTCGTTGTTTGGTTTTACTCATTCTTGCTGAGATCCTGCATTATTCATTTACAGGTATCTGACTTTGAATGCTTGTATTTCACCACTCGCACAATGAAGAAGCATCTTAAAGTGGAATTTATATTTAATTCCACTTTATATATGCATGCGCATACATTTGTGTTTAATCCTGCTCGTCTGCGCCCGCATCCCTTTTGTGAACCAAAACATCTTTGTGCTAGCATCCAATTAATAGTCTTAATGAGTGCATCACTCATGTTGTTTCTCAGCTGCACTCGTCCCATTGTCACAGCATCCAACACAAAACCAGGAGTGACTGCGGGGTAATTACTTACCTAGCAAATGTACCTTTAAGGGTTAATAACATTGAAGGTGTAAGCAGTGCATTTGCATAATTACACACGGACTGGTTAATTTGCAACTTTTTGACGGCTTTTGTTCAGTGCCTCGCTTATTGTGAATGCATTTTCATTTGGCACTCTTGCATGGAGGAAGACAAGAGATGTACCACAACATCATCATCCTCCTCCTCCTCCTCCTCCTCCACCTTAGATGGAGTCCCTTCTCTCTAAGACCCTAATGAACAATGGAGGCAGGATTTGTTTGAATATGAATATGAATGTGCAGCGGGGCCGGCTGGAAGTTGACCTTCAGCTGTGATTTTCAGTTCATCAGGATTAGTCAAGGCGGGCGATCAGGAGCCACTAATGCATAATGACTTCTAAAATGAAAAATGTGTAGTGACCATGCAAATGTCTCGGCTAATCAAAGAGGGGGGGAGAACCTGGGGTGGGGGGTGGGCGTTGAGGAGAGGAGAGCTAAACAAGGACGTGTCAAGGCCTGACAGAGAGAGAAAGGGGGAGAGGAAGGGAGGGGAGACATGCATGGAAAGTAATCAAGGCGGCTTGATTAGCTGGCGATGAGGACAGGGATGTCTTATTGGCCCCTTGACACACCATATAGGCTGGCTACTGTCATGGCGCCTCCACACTGTCGCAATTAGCGTCAGTGAAGGTGTTGCTACATGTTGATGTTTTAATTGTGTTATAAAGCTTGTCATTCAAGAATCTTTCATGACAAGACGCAGCATACCGCCCTTAAAAAAGCATAACATTAGTCAATTGTTGTGCTATAAAGATTTCATTACATTTTAAAGGTCATACAGTACAGGGAAGGAAGACGGGATTTGAGTCGCTTTAATCAGAATGGAGGTATTATTTGGTCAAGGAGAATCAACGGGTGAAGAATCATTCAATCTCGTTGATTTTATTTTCCACTGACAAACCAATGAAATTAGTGACAGCGTTTTGTGGTTGTCCATTTCTTAAGTAACCATAAGGAGCTTAAACCCCAATATAACTGTTAGCACACACTCCTCCGTAAGAATGTGTGAACACAATCATATATGGGAAATAAACGTACCCTTTGTTGATAGATCTGCTGCCTAAGAGGTCGTTTGCACTGCCGTCTCAGAAGAATCTGGTAAAAATACACAATATGTGTCTTTGTTTGTTTTGTTGAAGTTCTTCTAGCATAGTTCGACAACCCATAGTGTAATGATTCTCTCCCAAAAATGATATTGATTTTTCAAAAACAGCATGTTTGCAGAGTATAAAACTCTAAACAAACGATTTACTGCAGGAGGTGTGTTGTCAATACACTTCTATGTAAGCAGAATATAAAAATACGATATTGTTCATGGGTAACCCCTAATACACAACCCCCCCCCTCATCTTGCTGCTGTGTCCACTTCATCAGTATAGTTCCAATCAACTGTACAGCAGTGCATTTTTCACGCTGTTTCACATTAGCAGCACTGATAGGCATGCTAAAGCGGGGGAGTTCAAGGGTCCTGCTAATTAAGGTCTACGTCTATTTTAAATCTCCTACTTTTCCCTGTGGGGGCGGAGGCAGAGCAAAAATAAGAGGAACAAAAACAATGGCACAGCACCCATGTGTCCTTCAGCCTCTTTACCTACCTCCCCATCACCAATTACAACCTCCCAGAAGATCCATGCAGGTCTCTAACGCTCTGTTTCTCCATCTTTCTCCCCTCTATCTCTCTTTTCCACCCATTTTCTCTCTTCTCCAACGTCCAGGTTCCAGTGTCAGTGGCCATGATGAGTCCCCAGGTGATCACGCCGCAACAGATGCAGCAGATCCTCCAGCAGCAGGTGCTCTCCCCCCAGCAGCTCCAGGCCCTGCTCCAACAGCAGCAGGCCGTCATGCTGCAGCAGGTACACACACTCTTTCACCTCCATGCACACACACACACCCGTAGATAAATATTTAGGGACAAACACTCTTGTCGCATGCAGACACACGCACACCAGCCGTGTCCCATAGGAAGCAGGCTGTAGATGCACACAAACAGACACCTAGAAGCATATATTCACTTACTCTGACTTTAAAGACAGCAGTACAACTACGCACATGCACAAAATGTGGTCATCCTTAAAGTATATGATGTATACTATATGTATATTGTGGGGGAAATAGACATTCATAGACAGAAATCTTGACTTCATATCATTTGTGCATGAATAGAAGTATATTCTTTTAACCTAACATTATTAAATATGCTAAGTTCAATCTGTGTTTCAAGCTATTGCACGTTGGCTCCTTGGATTTTTAGGTAAATGGGCCTGGGAAGTACTTGAAAAGTCAACATGTTGATACCCTGCATATAGTACTTTCCTAGCTACAATGCTGAGTCACCCACCTGCTCTGAAATCCTCACAGCCACAGCTCACCGCAGCCCTGTGTCCTTGACACGCTTACCAAGAGGAATTTTGAAATTGACGTACTTGTTCTTGTCACCTCTAATTAACCATCTCCAGTGTGTCGCCGGTTCAATTCCCTGACAAGCATTCACCAGGGGCCGGTGTGTGGAGTAGGGCACAGCTGAATGATAGGTGATGGATGATGTAATATTTGGAATCAGCTCGAGGAAGCACAGTCTGGTGTCAGAGTTGAAATGCAGCTGTCATTCGTAGATTTGATTAAGGCAGAGAGGATAGTTTAATTAAGAACGTCAGTCATTCCGGTTATTGCTCTTCATTAGGAGCGCTCGGGAACTTGAGTTGGTTTCTGTGCAACGCCTTTTCCACAGCAAATTATGTTTCATACAGAACATAAAGCAGCTATTCTACCAAATCAACAACAATCACAGGGTCAAAACCTGTCGTCAGTCAGCTAAGACAAGTTATATTGTTGATTTACAGCAAGTGTTACAAGGCATGCTGATATGTATATGGCTGTTAGCAGAAAACTGCACAACTGGTCCGCTTTATGGACTTCTCTTACCGGCCAATAACAAGAAACAGAACAGAAATCACTGTCTAAATAGCTGTCAGTGTGTGTGTGTGTGTTAAAGGAATCAGTTCAACGTAGCAGACCTGTTCCTTAGAGGCTCTATTCCGTTTATTCCAGCCACTCCAAAGGACGCCAGTGCACTCTGGCAGCCAAATGCATAGTTAATATGATGAATTGTTGCCCCCAACAGCACTGTGGGACCATTAAAAGTCCATATGGAGAGCACTGCGGAAGACAGCGAGGATACAAATGCCAAAAGCACTTGAACATGTTGTTTATAATTTGTTGCTTAAGACACATTATCTCGATTATTGTAGGCTTTGACTTGTTTTGCAAGTAAGTTATTTATACACCCTCTAAATGCCAAGTCTGACTAATATCATCAAAACATTATAAAGGGAACAAATAAATATCATGAACTATAAATATGTTTCATATATATTAGAACATAAGACTGTATTTACTCAATCTGTTTCTTCTTTCTCTCTCTGTGTACAGCAACACCTGCAGGAGTTTTATAAGAAACAACAGGAGCAGCTTCACCTGCAGCTCCTCCAGCAGCAGCACCCCGGCAAGCAGGCGAAAGAGGTGGGTGCAAACTCTCAGTCACTGACACCTATGATTCTTCTACACAACAAATGGTCAAAATGTCCGGCATAACTCATAGATAAGTAGAAATATGGAAACATGTGATCATAAATACTTGTTTAAAGCATATTCTCTTAATTTATTCTCGTTTTTCCGACACAAAGCCCACATTATTCTTTATATTCAAATCACTTCAGATGACTTCAGATGTCCAACTTGTTAATGAGCTGTTCCTGTGGGCGTACAAACACCACAGCTAAAGTTACAGTGCTCATAAATCGCCGTGACAGCCAGCCGGTGGACAGACGTGTCTCGGACTTGTCCTTTTTGGCCGTCAGAGAAGAAGAGATGAGCATGACAGCTTTAGCAACATTTGTGTAGCCGTAGAAGTGTCAAGGCCACATCACCGTACGTGTGGAAGCAGTCAAATTGGTCAGAAAACATTCACTCCTCTCCCTCTCTGGGATGTGTTGCGCTCCTCCTAAAGCAGCCCATTATGCCGACCCTACAGGAAGCCGCCGCTGACCTCCCGGCGGCTTTGTTTCTGTTTGGATTTCTGAATAGAGTTTTTCAGGGGGGCCCCACCATCAAATATGGAATAGAAATTGCTTCCTTATTTCTCTTGAGGCAGGGTTGGGGTGGTGGGGGGGGGGGGCGGACAAACTGCCTTCTTCCATCACTCCATTATGCAGCCTGTTTTTCCAGTGAGCGCATCACAAGTTTCCCCCTCCACCTCCACGCTCCTGCACGTCCACCTCCATACAAACATGACAGGCTGCGTGCACATACACATGTAGATGAAGAAAAGAGCAGACAAAAAACATCTTGTGACATTACAGACCAAAAAGACTATATTATCCCTCAAATGCAATTATAACCTGAGTTTACCCATTCAGATCTTTTGTCTCTTCCTAAAATCCATTCCCTCTGACTTGTTTTGCCGCGGTCACTGAGTTCGATGTTTTTCATTCTGTTGTTGTTTTTATTGTTGTTTTGCACAGGGCTTACGCAATTGCCTGCCTGGCCCAGCGATAAACAACTCTGTGAGGCAGCGAGGGGAGCAGAGAGAGGGTGGAGCGGGGGCAGGCGTTGTGCATGTGGGTGCAAATATATTTGTGTGTGTGTGTGTGTTTGCTTGCACTTGTGTCCATGCATTGGCTCCCTCTGGCCACATAAGCTGTAACAGACCATCAGTGGAGGCGAGACAATTAACTATCAAGGGGGGGTGGGGGGGTTGTGGGATGGGGGGGGATTATACCAGAGGCTTAGTATCATACACAATCACAAGCACAGACACTGACGGGCTCGAGAGCCGGTGTATCCACACACAGCTTTGTGTCTGTTTGTGTGTGTGCGCTCACACACAAAGAGAGGCATCAACACTGTGGTACAGCCCAAAAACACAGCAGGCAGGGGCTAAGTGAGCACAGACAGAGAGGCAGAGCTGGAGGAGAAGAGGTGTAGCTAAGGTCACAGGCAGTGAGTGAGTGCAGACTCTCCACACTCTCTCTCAGTTGTTAATTTGTTTGTAATTCTTCCCTCCCTCTTCCTCCTCTCCTCTCTGGCTCCCCTCCTTCCTCTCTATAGCAACAGCAGCAGCAACAGCAGCTGGCCGCCCAGCAGCTCGTCTTCCAGCAGCAGCTCCTGCAGATGCAGCAGCTCCAGCAGCAGCAGCACCTGCTCAACATGCAGCGGCAGGGCCTGCTGTCGCTGCCCGGGCCCGCCCCCGGACAGGCCGCCCTGCCCGGACAAACCCTGCCCCAGTCAGGTAAGAAGAGGAGGAGCAGTGAGATGACGACAGGGAGTGTAGTTGATCTGACTGATATGACTTGGTGGTCACATGCTCAAGTGAGGTGTAAGTGTTTCTCTGTCTCTTCCATCTTTTTGTTTTCCTCATTGGTATGCACCTGTGTCCCCCCTGCGTTATCTCTAAGTATGTCTGCCTCCCCCTCATTGGTATGCTCTTCAACCAGCTACTAACTCTCCACATGATCGTTTTGTTCACTCTTCCATTCTCTCCTTTCTCTCTCTTCTTGTCTGATTGTGGCTCTCCTTGTCTACTTCTGTTTCTCTCTCAGCTCTGCCTATGTTTGTTGTTTTGCTCTTTCTCTCTTTCTATTCCCCCACGCTCCTCAACCCCCCCCTCTCCCCTCCTTCATTTGCCCGGTTTGTGTTGTTGTTATTGTTGTTTACTGCCTTCTCTGAGAGCCAGGAGAAGAATAAAAGAACAGAGAGAGGAGAGCTAGCTTATATTTATTCTCCTGAGCCGAGTAAACACCTATGTTTGTTGTCTACCAGCAAAATGGCGCAGACAGAAACAACTAGCAGGGAGATGTTAGACAGGAATCAAAGTAAGTGAATATTTCTAAATGAGTTGCCAAGCTGAAAACAACAGCTTGTTAATCCCAGATACAAAACTTGCTGTAATCATTACTTTATGCTTCTTTTTCATTGAAAACACACACATCTTAGGAGGCAGATAAGACACACTTGGTTTTATTTAGCTGTATTAGTTCAAACTCAGGTTAGCTTTGAGGAAGAACAGGATGATAGTCCCTGAAGAAAAAGTCCTTGCACTTTTTTGGTTGTCGAATAAAGTTTGAGTTTAGAGTTCAGCTTTTGTCTCACACACACGACACACAGGTTTTGCATCTATGGTCTAACTTTGTCCTTCTTGATTTCCCTCTAGCTGGCCTGAGCCCCGCTGAGCTGCAGCAGCTGTGGAAGGATGTGACCGGAGGCGGTGGTCACACCATGGAGGACAACGGCATCAAACACAGCAACAGCGGCAACGGAGGGGGCGGTGGCGGCGGCGGCGGCGGCGGGTTAGACCTCTCCACCAACAACTCTTCCTCAACTACCTCCTCCTGCAACCCCGCCAAAGCTTCGCCGCCCATCTCCCACCATTCCATCGCCAACGGACAGTCCCCCGGCCTCAACCACAGAAGAGAGAGGGAACGGGAACGGGAAAGGGAGCGAGAGAGGTACAAAATATGACTCCACCTAGGCCCGAGAAGATGAAAAGTTTACACCCGTCACACACGCTCTTGTTTCATGATTCAATATAGAAACACATCAGAGTATTTGTCAGGGACAATTGTTTATTTGTTCAATAGTTTATTAGTGTTTTGCTAAAGAAATAAATAAGAGCCTTGTTCTCCCAGGGGAGCCCGCGTGCCATTGAACACACTTAGCTTGCACACAGATATCAAACGCAGGGAGAGGAAGCCATGCAGGCAGGCGCTCTCACTACAAGCCTCTCTGGCAGGCGAGACAAGGTAACCTCCTTGTACATTAAGTATTTAGTGCTTTCTCTCCTCTTTTGAAAATTACCTTCTTTGCTTGCTTGTCATGTAAACAGAATACGTGATGCCTTGAGTGGCATTTCCAGGATGTTTATCCTTGTGATGGCGTCTTTTATAAATGCACCCAGCACCAAAACACTGACTGTTCACATACTATCTGGCCCATGCATTATTCAAAGGCTTTTCTTGGGCGATATTATAATAAGGACTTAGGGTTGTGCTGTGTGTGTGTGTGTGTGTGTGTGTGTGTGTGTGTGTGTGTGTGTGTGTGTGTGTGTGTGTGTGTGTGTGTGTGTGGTGTGTGTGTGTGTGTGTGTGTGTGTGTGTGTGTGTGTGTGTGTGTGTGTGTGTGTGTGTGTGTGTGTGTGTGTGTGTGTGTGTGTGTGTGTGTGTGTGTGTGTGTGTGTGTGTGTATGTGTGTGTGTGTGTGTGTGTGTGTATATGTGTGTGTGGTAGAGACTCACACTGGAGGTGGAAGTGCTGTGTAATTGGTTTAAAGTAGATGCTATCTCTCCAGCACCACTAAAAGGAGGCTTGAAAAAGATACCTTCAGAGGGAAGACAGAGAGGAAGAGAGAGGTAGGGAGGGAATGAGAAGAGAAGGAAGAAGGGGAAGAAAAAAATGTTTTTGTTATCTGCTTGTGTCCCGAGGGGCGTGTGGTGTCTCATAATGATCGAACACGGAGTATTGTCAGGAGCACTGCTTACTAACATGCCATGGATCGATGTGGGGAAAGCCCTTCTGTAAAAAAAAAAAACCCCAGTGTGAGCTCCTCCAGCGCTGACACACACATATTCATGGACCACACACATGCACATAGGCATCGACCACACACATGCCTAACCTATAAGCAGACAAACACACACATACTGTACGCAACACACTCCTCTCCTAAAGGTTAAACTGTCATCTTTAATAGGATGTGCTGTCTAGGCAGGGTCGTAACTTATTTGGGTGCCATTTGAAAAACGCCCGAGCACCCCCTGCCCCCGTTGTCCTCAAAAGAACATAAGTTACACAGAGTATTAATCTCCTGATGAAAATGATATGGCTGTCTGGATTTTTTATGTTTACTTGAAAGCGGCCACCACCCTCCTCCCTATAATGGCTTTACAAGATGGGATGGTGGCTACGGCTCAGTCTCCATTGCTTAAAGTAATTCATATTGTAATCATTTAGATTGATTGGAGATGAACAGTTTAATTGAATAGCACTCTAACATATTCCTCACAACCAAGTTTTCCTGTTTTAATCGACCTTCCGATATGTTTTTCTTTCACTCTGGCTCAATTTTCTCGCCTTTTTTTTGGACAATTCAACTGAACTGACCTGTTTTGACCCCTCCTGAACTCCCTCTACCTGTCTGATTTCTTGTATTCTTAGTTTTCTCTTTTCTTTTGCACTATTTTCCAGTTCACTACATGAAGAAAGTGGAGGAACCCACCCCCTGTACGGCCACGGTGTGTGCAAGTGGCCCGGCTGTGAGAACATCTGCGAGGACTTCGGACAGTTTTTGAAGTAAGAACATATTATACTGCTCACCTCCTCCTGCTACCGCCATGTGGGGGATTTGTGTGCCTGTTTTATCGCGAAACACACACAAGTTCCCCCCCCTACACCACAGCAGCTTCTTTCTGCGGGTACAAAGAAAACATCAGAGGCTCTCACCGAGCGCACTCTGACCCCGCAGACAGCCAGTTGTCAGGGTTCAGCTCCAGCAGTGCAGGATTCAAACCAACTCTGATCCATAACAAATCTCCTTCCTGCCGTGGAAGGGCCTGATAGGTTTGTGAAAAAAAGGCCAAAAGCTAATGGTAACCCGCACGGCCGCACACTTACCTTCCACAACAAAGGCCCCCATTCACTGTTGTCATGGTGCAGGCGCCAGAGCGAATTAACTCTTCATGCTCCATCAACAATTTAGTTAATTAGCTCATTTGTAATTGGCCGGCTTTGTTGCCAGGATGTTAGTGGGGTGACATCAAAGGAAGAAGGTGTTTGCAGCGCTGCCGATTACAGGTTATCACATTGCCACTCACTGAGAGTCTCTCCCTCTCTCCCTCTCACTATCACTCTTTCCCTGCCTCCCTGCTCTCACACAGAGAAGAAAAGAAAGGGGAAAGCTTTAATTTGAATATTCTAATTAGATTTGTAATTAACTGTGAAATAACGATCTGGCGAGTGTTTTTCACCGGCTGTAAATGTCCATGTGAATTCGCATAAACTATTGAAATCGGGACATTGTTCCGGCGTATTTTCCAAATTATGCATTTCTCTACAGTAGTGACTGTAATAAGTTGCAGAACGCTAGAAAATGTACTGATAAAAGAAACTAGTCCACCCATGGGGGAGCTGCTGCAGGATTTAGGTCAGGCTTTTGCTAATTCCACAGCAGCTTGTGAATTAAAGCTAAAAGGTGTCTCGACTCTAATAAAAATAGTGTTTACCAGTATTTGAAACACGCAACCTGACATGACATTAAGCTGCATTTTCACACTCCATCAACGCACACAATGCTCTCAAAAGAAAGAACAATCGACAGTGATGGATTGAAAATGAATCAGAGGTGAATATATATTCCAACCATTGCTTGACAAGTGTGTTTGCTTATCCCCTGTGGAAAATGTGCCACATACATGTCAATGTCAACATCCATTTTCTGCAGCAGCACATCCATAGGCATGCCAAGAAGCCTTGCTTATGAAAAGCCTGCTCGCTGTGTGCAAAGCATTGTCTAACCTCAGCTAGTCCAAGAGGAAGAGTTTGCCTTGCAGCTCTGGAAGAAATGTGTGTGTGAGAAGGCAAGACGGTATCAGATTAGCAGTTTTTCTGATATCTTGTCCTATCACCTCAGTACACTTACTTACAGGAGACATCAGTCTATCCCTCAGCACTGTATGCTCTGAGGATACTGTGTCTAGGTAGCTTAGCTTGGTTGTTTAGGCGAGGGGCGAGAGATGTGTGAAGCGATGTGCCGGTGAATCCGGTAAGCTGGTAAGCTAACGCAAAAGGATGTTGTAAAAATACAAACTGAGCACAAAAAGACAAACGGAGGGAAACGGGTAGACAAGAAACTTGAAACACAGGTTGGCAGATATTGGTTGCTCCAAAACGGAACAGAGTCTTGGTTCAGCAACACACACACACACACACACGCACAACACACACACACACACACACACACACACACACACACACACACACACACACACACACACACACACACACACACACACACACACACACACACACACACACACACACACACACACCCCTGCGAGTGAGAGGCTGGCTCTTATACTGTAACCCAGCCACACATGAAAACAAGCGCCAACAAAGAAGCCAGACTCGTCATCAGAACAAAGATGGCTGCTCGGTGGCGTGCCTTGGAGCGATGATTGTCGGTGTCAGAGGGAGCGCTTTCATGTTTCCGGAGATGCCAGTCTCACACACACACGCATACACACACACACACACAGGCATACACACACACACACAGGCATGCACACACACACACACGCAGTTTAAACGGGGTTACATAAAGCGGGTGTCACATTTAGATGACAGTTCAGATGTTGGTAGTTGGGAGAGGGTTACGGAGAAGGGAGGAGGGGGGGTTACCCAAGTCAAGCTGGAGTCTCGTAGCTCAGCTCAGCCGCGGTGACACGTTTAGTCATCTATTGTTTTGTTGCATGAAGAAACTTGTCAAGATCAGCATTTAATAGCTCCTCAGCGCGCTTTTAAGTCGTTCTCACCTGGAGAAGGTAGCCGCGAGGTGGCTGGCACCCTGAATTAGCTCTCTGAAGTTCAAAATGAAATAATATTGCCTGGGAATGTTTCTGGGTTTGTGTGTGTGTATGTGTGTGTGTTAGTTGCAAGAGAATAAGAGAAACATGAATGCTATGACTGGAGCTATTTTTGTAGGCAGCCTTTAAAAAAAAAAAGGCAATTCACTTTTGAACATTTAGCCACTTTATATGTAGCATTAGCATAGCTTTATGACGCCATCACTGTACAAAACCACCTACTTCACTACACTAATTGGTTTAGCTCACTCCTGATTTCATGTTTATGTCAGCTTAAATACATAAAACATAACAAAACACAATATTTTGATATTTAATCTCAAATAAATACATGTGTTCCTCCCTTTATTTTTCTTTTCACATTTCACCTCTTATTTCAATATCCTCTCACCTCAATATGCTCCAGTCTAATCTGCACATAAACAGATACTTTCTCACACACACACACACACACACACACACACACACACACACACACACACACACACACACACACACACACACACACACACACACACACTCTGTGTCACCCATCTGCTTTCCCTATTACAGGCAGGAAGGCAGGCTCCATGTTAAAATGGCAAGCTCAGCCGCTAACGTGAATGTCTGTAACCCGCTGCTAATTAAACCCACAAGGCAGAAGCCAAGTGTCTGTGCCTCAGTGTAGTGCACACGCGCACACACACACATACACACACACACACACACACACACACACACACACACACACACACACACACACACACACACACACACATACGCACACACTGTGGAGGAAGGCAGGCAGGCCCCTGGCCCCTGGATAGCTGAGCTCCCCTCCACACGTCTGCTGCACTGTGACAAGACCTTTAAAACGGAGGGCATTACTTATGCACCACCACCACGGGGAGAGTGTGTGTGTGTATGTGTGTGTGTGTGTATGTGTGTGTTTATGCATGCCAGTAGGTGTATAGTTGTGTGTATGCTTTGTGTATACATTAGTGTGAGTGTAGACAGTTAGGGGGCCTGTTCTCTGCAGCCCCTGATGATACACACAGACAATTAGCAGATCATCCATACACTGTGCGCAGTAGATTTATTATAAGGCCCTTAGTGGACGTTGATGGCATATACATATTCATACACACAGCTGCTGGGAAAAACCTTTGAGATATCTTGTCTTTAAGAGAAAGGAGAAACTGCAGCATCCAATAAAAACACATCTTTATCCGTGTCCTTTTCGTCTCTTTATTTGCTCTGATTTCTCCACCTTTGCTACAGCTCTACACCATCCCTAAACACTTCAACATGCGGGTAATTCCCCTCTTCAAGGCGAGAAAATCAATGTTCCTCTAAACCGAGGCATGAACAGTAAACACAAACAGGATGCCTGACAGTGAGGAAGGTGTCCTCTACCTCTAAGGTTTTAAACTAATACACACAAATGCTACAGTTCAGATGAGTCACTCCACAGCCTCAAAAAATCATACGAGAACAGATAGAGGGGGATAACATGGGGGATTTTTATCGAAGAAGAGGAGACAAACAACATATTATTTGCCAACCTCTCAGTAAATAAGGTGTTCTTTCATTATTGTCTGCCTGTCTGTGTGTGTCCACCCCTCCCTCCTCCTCCTCCCCCTCCCCCTTTTGTCTTTGTGTGGCATTATTAATGCACAGTAGGACATGCTGCCATTTGAATATTTCATAAACGCATGTAGTAATCTGCCTGTAATCGCCTTGCTAACTGGTGTGTGTGTGTGTGTGTGTGTGTGTGTGTGTGTGTGTGTGTGTGTGTGTGTGTGTGTGTGTGTGTGTGTGTGTGTGTGTGTGTGTGTGTGTGTGTGTGTGTGTGTGTGTGTGTGTGTGTGTGTGTGTGTGTGTGTGTGTGTGTGTGTGTGTGTGTGTGTGTGTGTGTGTGTGGAAGGAAAGAGAATAACTGCAGAGCTCACTACACACACACACAAAATATAACAAAAACAAGCTTGTCGATGAGAGACAAACTTAATAAAGATTTTCCCCCCCTCTTTTTTTGGGTTTGTAATGAGGTATCTTCAGGGACAGCGAGCAGCCCGCTCTGTGCTTTTGAAGCAGCTGTAATTCATGACACACGCCATACATCAAGTGCATAAGATAGCATTATGGGCAGTGAAATGAAAAGGGTATTTGCAACATTAGTTCCCTCATCCTGCGAGGGACGTGATTAAATGATTAATGTAATGCCCCCTTTTTGCATGCGCATTCTGAAACAGCAATTAGGCACAGGGCTGGAGAAACCCACCGGTTCGTCCCTCCCCTCTCCCTCACTCCTCACCCCTCCTTTCTTTTTATTTTAATGCTACCTCATTCTTGCTTTTATAATGAAAATTTCACGAGCATTAGACCAGAAATGGTTCTAAAAGTATACGCGAGGATTGGATGGTTTTAAATGTGTGTAATTGAAAGGTACAGAGCTATTGTGATTACAAATGTCCTATTCAGCGTTTGATTGGCAGGCCAACAGAAGGCCGCTCTATGAGTTCTTGTTTTGCACATTGCCGATAAACAAGAAGGAGGAATATGTGGTGGCAGTGTGCATTTCTCCGTGTGTGTATCGATGTGTGTTTGTGCAGACTGATGATAATGTAAGCGAGTGTGTTCTTAGATAAAGCCAGACAGAGCGAGGGAGATTTTGTACTCCCTCTAATGCACTGGAGGCAGTGCTGTAAATGATCATTGAAGGGTCTGCAAGCTAACCTATAATTACTGCAGATAAAGTGGCAGCTCTGGCATTTCATAAGCATGCCTCCTCAAAGCTTGCTTTGTGAGTTTGTCACCAATGATCATTTAGATAGAGGCTCATTACCCAGCATCACAACACTTTAGAAACCCCTTTTCGCCCAATGTTTGTGTGTGTGTGTGTGCATATGTGTGCTTTAGCAGGAATAAAGGTCTATCTTAATGGTGAGGCTCTTTTGTGTCCTACAGACGAAATCCAATCAAGACAAAAACCCTCATTGACTGTTATGGCTGTCTGGCTGGCTTTTTCTTCTAATGAGGCGAAAACAACCAGATACATTTAATATGTCTGCTTGGCGGATAATGCACCTTCCGTTGAAGAGCCGCTTTTGTGTGTCAAATGTTGCCGGTGTTAAATTGTGTGTATTGTTTTCGGTAAACGAAGAAGACAAAGCCGTTCTGCTGGGCTAGCATCTTTTATTCTCAGCAGAAAGCAGCGCTCAGGGCGGTGCTGAAGTTCGCCATCTAAACCGGCACAGGCCTATTGTCATGTTAAACACGGCACCACACACCGTCATGTTACTTCTAATTACCTCATTTCACAGCGGAACAATGCCTCCTAACACTATCCTATAGATAATTGTCCCGGTATAGAAATATTATCATTAAAACAAAACAGTGGTGAAGTTGATACTGTCATTATCATCCTCCACAGTTTGGATGAAAAGAATAGGTGCTGTCTTCTGCCAGCTTAGTCATGTTTGGAAGATTTTAAAGTTCTTGTTTAACATTTTCTTTCCGTCTGTCTTTCTTTCTACTTCCAGGCACCTAAACAGTGAACACGCCCTGGATGACCGGAGCACGGCCCAGTGTAGAGTCCAGATGCAAGTCGTACAGCAGCTGGAAATACAAGTACGTTCCTGTCGAGCAAAAACTCAGCAAAGCATTGTCACTTTTTTTCCCATTGTCACATTTAGCAAACTCATTTCAGTCACTTATCATCCAGACAAAACAATAAAAGTTATGTGAGTGAGAGAAAGGCCAAACTGTGGTCTACTTCCCGACAAGCAGGACCTGGTGAATTCAACAAAGCCACTAAACAAAAGAATCCTCAGGCCTTACAAGGAAAGCCATTATGGCAGTTTTAATTGAATTAAGCGTGTGCTTTATTTTCTCTGCTTTCTTTTTTTGTCTTCTCTTTCTTTCCAATTAATAGCGAGTGCATCTCTCCCGGTCTGCTGTGTTAATTAACTGCACTTTGCACCTGAAGAAAGCTCAAAAGGAGGGAACTATTTTCAGTAGGTGGAGCGTGACCTTATTAAGAAGTCGTGCTGGCTAGATAATGAGAGCTCTGATTGAGCGACATTATTACTCAGCACTGACGACAACCGCTGCTCCTTCTCTAGAAACAAATAGAAACCTGTGTTTTAAAACGCCAGCTGGAACTACTCCGTTCTAACCATCAAGCTTTGCAAAGTTTCATATTTTGGGTCAGATATAAAGTTATTATAATAAAAAAACTGGATCAATCCGACCCAACTTCCCTCCTTTGCTCTCCACCAGAGGCCAACACTTCCTCCCACACATTTTTCGGTCCGATAAACAGTTTGTATTTAATTGTTAGGCATTTGGTTTTAAAGTAAATACATTCTGTTGCCATGTAAAAAGGGATTTATGTTATTTATTTCATTTTCTGTGTTTTGTTTTCCATTGAAACACAAAGCTATTGAAGCCTGTGCTTTACAGTGTGACCAATTACAGTGGTGCACTTGTGTTTGCTGTCCTGTCTATTCTGGTTTCTCCCTTTCTCTTTCATTCCTCACTCCCACTATCCCTCGCTTCCTCCTTTTTCTTTTTCCACGAGAGCCGTCACTAGTAATGAGGCCCAGCTCTGTGTATGCGTGCACCTCTGTGTGTGTGAACGCCTACTTGCTTGTCTGTTTCTCTGTGTGTTTGCTTCTTGTGTGTGTGTGTGTGTGTGTGTATATCGGAGGGTTGAGCTCCTCACATGGTCCAGTCCCTGTCACTCCCTGTGAATTAGATTGATGATAGGCGATGGCTGGGGCCACTAACTGGACCGGGGAGGCGGGGCAGCCTGGCCCCCTGTTTGGAAGACCCTTTCACCTCTCGGCAGCTGCTGGCTGCGCTCCATCCCCCTAACAGTGTCCACAGGACTTTGAGCAGACACTCAGCACCACCTAATTTATGACCCAACTAGCTTGTTACTGTCAGAGTCTCGCTGACCTAAATTCAGCTATTGACAAAAAGATGAAATGCTATTTGTTTAGCCTGACCTCTCCTCCCTGCAGCCTGTCTTACATCACCAGCAAACCTGTCTCCCTTCCTGTCTTTCTTCTCATGTCTCATATTCTCTTGTACCTCAGCTCTCCTTTAATCCACTCTAATGTCCTCTCTTCTTCTTCTTCTTCTCTCCTGACAGCTTTCTAAAGAACGTGAGCGTCTTCAGGCGATGATGGCCCACTTGCACATGCGGCCCTCGGAACCCAAGTCATCTCCCAAACCAGTGAGTGCATATTGCTCTGGCCACCGTAAACACACCGCGGCTATGAATGAGGCCCACACCCAGAAAATGAACAGTTTAAGCACCCGGCAGTTGTGAGAATGAGTGACAGAAGCTGAAAGGCGTGGGGGGGGGGGAATGGGATTTGTAATACCGAGTTATATCTGCTTCTTATCAGGTATTGTGAGAGGACAAAGGAGTTTGGGAGTGTATTAGATGGCAGAGCGGTGGAGTCCTTGGCTAAAATGCAGGGTCATTTCTTCGTGATGGATATAATAGCCAAAACAACCTGTTGGCAGCTGATGACTGTTTGGCTCTGTGGCACTTGAACATGGAATGAGAGAGAAGAAGATATGTCATTTCAACAACAAACACCTGGAAATTACAGCCGAGTGGCGAAGACGGTGTGATGTTGACATAAATACCCGCCACTACTGAAATTGGTTCCAGAGAGAAAAGAAAATCCAACATTGTGAAGGGGTCATTGAAGGAAAACGATGTCATTCTGCATTTCTTTCCTTTCTATTGCCTTTTACTTTTTGATGGGATGATTACAAAATGCATTTCTCCCACCCTGTGTTTAAGATTTCTTTGCCCAGTTTTGAAATATTTGAGAGCAAAAACATTGTTTCTGCTGCTCAGTAAGTGCTGCTTACAATAGAATAATTCCTCCTCATCATAGAATGTAGATAATCACAAGATAGCATAATTATCCCATAATTCCATCAGGAATCAAACTCCCTTTTTATTATTCAATCTCTCACTCTCTCTGTAGATTTTTTTTCTTCTTAATCTTCAAAACTCCAGCAGCTTGGTTCCATCTCGTCCAATAACGCATTTGCAGCCTATAATCCACGCCTGAATATGAATGAATGATGCTAATGAAGTATTGCATTACATAAAGCACACATGAAAGAGCAGCTAATTGCATTTGATGGTGGGGGAAATTCAGACAGAATTCTTAAACGAACATTTAAGTCTTCAGTTTTAAGGCTTCCGTGTGTGTATTTTTTTTTTTTGAGGAGGTAGGATAAGGATTTGGTGTGGGGGACAACAGAAGAGAAAAAGTGACATAACAAAGAGAGATGATTGGTGGATGTAGAATCACAGGTGGAGGATAGAAACATTTAATAAATATGAAGTCAAAATGTTACATTAGTGAAGCCCACAAACGACACTGCCAGACGAATACAAGACAACGATGTCTCCAATATGACCCTATTTATTCTTCATTAAATACTACCTTATGGCCTTCGACGGACAAAAACCAAAGTTAGCAAGGCTCCAGTTACTGAATAATAACATATCTTTATCTCTCATAACCTTGAGTGTGTATTCAGATGAGCAGAGAGGTGACAAAGTGCCCATCAAAAAAAGGGATTGTACACTTGCAAACATGTCACGCTTGTTGCCGTGCCTCGTAGGTGAAGAGGCGGCAAAAATTATGTTTTTACGTTATAAATATACATGCCTATACATTAAGGCATTTATTTTGACTTTAGTTTGCATACTTCAAGGTGTTTTCTGTTCTGCTAAATGTCTTGCCGGATGCAGGGAATACCACTCACTGTCATGAGCTCAACCACTATGAATTAAATGGCCATCTATGAAATTAATAAATAGATGATTGGGTGAGGTTAATGTCAAATAAAACATCTTGGTTTCAGAGAAAAGAAAAAGCCCAGTGCTTGTTTTTTTACAATTTTTGTACGTCAATAATAATCAGACCTTTTGCTTTATAGATATAGAGTATATACTTTCCTTGACCCCCCGCCCCCCCAACTATCGTCCTCATTCTCTGCACTGAGGCCTGTATATGCAGCCAGCCCTCGTCCCATCACTGTAGCAGCTCATTAAAGCCAAGTGGGCATAATTATCATCTGAATCCCCCTGCATCCACCGGGCTCTCTCAAACTTGACATTTCATCGTATTTATCAACACATGCCTCAAATGACCGCTGATACCTTCCCTTCAGCCCCTCGCTCCATCTCTCAGCGCCTTCAGGCCCCCCCCCCCCCCCCCCCCCCAGCCCCAGTTCCCTTCCTTCTTTCAAGTCGCTTTTAATTCAAACTCCGGCGTCCAATGCATTCCACTTGTAGACTCACAATTAAGGCAATTTGGTTTGAATATGTAACGATGTCATTACCATTCCAGCTAAATTAGCACGGAGACTAAAAGGTCAGTTAGGAATTTTCCACTCGGTTAGAGCCTCTCACATGAGATTCGGGAAGCCAAAGTGGTGGAAAAAGGCCGGACGATTAGCGAGCGCGGTTGGCGTTCGTGCCAGAGGTGACTCTCCGGTCCCTGATGTTGAAGTAGACAAAGACTGAGTGTCTGCAGTCACCATAACTGCCCACACAAGTTTGTTATATCTAACTTTAAGAGTATTCTCAAATAGAAAGAACATGACATTCTACTACTTGTTATACATCCTCAAATGAATCGGCTATTACTGTTATAATATCTAGTTGTGTTTTGTTTTAATAGCAGGGTTATTGGGCCGAGAGTTGCTGCTAACATCTATGAAAAAAGGCTAAAATAGGAACTTTCATTCCAAATTTGATCTGCTTTCTGCTTCAGTGTGAAAGGGTTATGGGTGGTTGCAGTAGGGGAGATGGAGGAGGAGGGAGGGAGTGATAAATAGAGAGATAAAGAGAGATGGGGCCGGGATAACACGGAGGCTGATCGTTGGATAATCTCGAACAGCGTGCTCTAATTAGAATTCTTATGATACAATTTGGTAGTTGTAATTAGTGGAGATGGGCTGGCTCCTCTCCACGAGCCTTGTTAGTGGAAACACAGCTGTGTGAGAGAGGAGGGGAGCACACCGAGAAAGTAACGCCTTCGTGTCTTTCCTTATCTCCTCCCTAGCTCAACTTGGTGTCCAGCATCACCATGTCCAAGAACCTGCCCTCAGCATCGCCCCCCAACTTACCTCAGACGCCCACCACGCCCACAGCCCCCATCACCCCCATGACTGGCATGCCCCAGGTGCCCTCAATACTGGGAGGAGCCAACGTCCCCAGCATGGGAGCCATGCGCAGACGCCACTCGGACAAATACTCCATGCCTCTGTCGTCAGGTAGGACCAACTACTCAGCACTGAGCATGACACACACACACACACACAAAATGCTACGTCAGCGCAGGCAATTCAGTTTCAAGCTAATCTGATCACATGATGTTTAAATACAATCCTGAGAAATGGGCAACATAAAAGTGTCTTTTTGTATTTTAAGGAAATTCACCTGCTTGAATACATTATGAATTGACCCTGACACACACACACACACACTGATACGTTAAAACATTTGTATTTTATATGCTCACAATCTAATTCTGTTTTTGTGTCTCTGATATGACTTTGATTACATTCAGATTATTTCCCCCAAATGTAAACTCTGCACTATTAATAGTACTCAACCCATAATGGTGTTGTAGTACTCTTTTAGAACACACACAGACATGCACGTGAACACACACTGACATAAACACACACCACCACACAGGCTTGTTGGTCTTAGCCAATGTGAGACGTCTGCTGCGGTTTATAAAAAGCAAAGCCTGTGTTTAATCACTCTATATGTAAATAGACAAGAACTTCCTCTGTGCATAAATATTACATGAATGTTAATTAAGTTCAAATAATGGTGAAAAAAACTACAATATTTATTACATTAAGACATTCCATGTATTAAGCTTTGCATTTTAAACGGTCCGTCTTTGATGTTTATATTTACTCTGTGTTTAGCGTGAACACATAAATTATTCAACTTCACCCTAACTAACTACACGGATCTCATTTTATGGATGTATTAGTGTTTAAGATCCCTCACGAGAGAGATTAATTAAAAATGCATTTTGTTAGACATAGAAAATGCTGATTTGATGTGCTCCCTGTAACCCCTTACCCCCACCCTCTCTTTCTCCCCCCTTTTCCCTCTCTTTCCCCCCTTGTCATTTGATGAAACCTTGAGCAAATGTAATAACTTATGGAATCAAATTTACCCAATTATTTCAGGTGGTGAAACAGTATTTATTTTTCCAGAGATCGCCCCAAACTACGAGTTTTATAAGAACGCAGATGTCAGACCGCCATTTACTTATGCAACCCTCATAAGACAGGTGAGTGGGAAATAAATTAACTTTGCCTGATTAGATTAAAATTAATTGCTGCATGAATCATGGCAGCTCTCTCAATCCGTTGCTGTGTGTGTGTCAGTTAGTCTCGTTAGTAAACCATTATTTGATGTCATCTCATTTCAGGCTATCATGGACTCTGCCGACATGCAGTTAACGCTTAATGAAATCTACAGCTGGTTCACACGCACGTTCGCCTACTTCAGACGCAACGCTGCGACTTGGAAGGTAACCTTGATGAACCCCCCCGCCCCCTCTACGTAACCCCACACCTTCACCTCGCTGGAGTCAAAAAAACAGAAGAAAGCACATATTTACCCAAAGATTAGCACTCTCTCTCCCCTTTCTTCCTCTTATTTATTTTTTCCGCCTTTTCTATTTGAAAGGGGAAAAAATGACGCTGCCTCGGATATCGTTTTTCTAATTTGCCGCAATTAATAGCGGAGGCTTGGCGAGGAGAGGAGAGGGCTGTGAGACACTAATTATACAGCAGCCACTCCATCATCAGCACCTTTTGTTAAAACAGACACCCCACCTCCTACTCCTGAAACCACCTTCTCTCGCATATCATTGGTTAATTAGGAAGAAAGATGGCTGTTAACCAGCTCTCAGCTGCGCGCGGGGGAAGGCCTCGTGTACACATACACTGTGTCTAAAAGAGGGGTTAAGGGTGTGGAACTAAAGCAGGGGGGAAAGTGAGAATTGGCCTGTCATGGAGGCAGCACTCTTTATTTACCCACACAAAGGGGCCCATTTGTATATCTGTCCGTGCAACTTTATTGTCCTGTCTGCCTACACAAAGATGGTGAAAAATGTCTTCCCCGCAGCACACTTCGTTTGAACCAGAAGTGTGTCTGCCGGCTGATAAAGAAAGCCCCGCTGAGCGCCAGTGTTTTTATCCCGTGGCCCCTGCCCGTCGTTCGTTAGCCGCCTTTAGCCTTTGTGGCTGCACTGGAGGGAAGCCTGGCCCAGCCGCTCATCAGCATGCAAGACGTGGCGCAGCACTAGATTTAGCAAAAGTGAATTAATTTGGATTTGGGATGCAAATGAGCACATGGGCGTGTGATCACCAATTCAGGAGGGCACGCGAAAAAGATCGGTGCCCTTTTCCAGTGTTTTAGGTACAGTGATGTTTTGCTGTGACAAGATGTGTTCTCAGAGGCAGAAAAACAACTTTCATTTAAATGTTTTTCTGTATTTCCTGAAAAAAAAACGGATTTAATAACAATGATATCACAATGACATTTACAAATCTAGTCTCCCGGCCACACATAATAACCAATGTGATCTATTTACATCCACAATCCCCTTTGTAAGCATTAGTGGGATGATCAGCGCTGGGTTTGTCATTTGATTAACAGAGAGAATTTGTTTTTTTATAGCGAAAAGAAAGAAATGAAAGGTAGTTTAATATCTCAGCGTCTTCTCATCAGCTCAAAAGAAGGATCTACCCCCCCCCATCCCACTTTCCCCTCTCTCTTTCTCCCTCACCCAGAAGCTTATTAGTTCTAACTATATAGCATGCATAATAAAACTGCTCATTTGCTCATTAATATTAAAATTATCATATTCAGAGCCATGGGCATTAAGATCAATCAAATCCTGGGATTTTCAGGTCAGATGCGAGATCTGCTTATGAGTTTTTTTTTTCTTTCGTTTTTTTTTGAAGCCCTTTTTCTTGGAGAAAGAGCAGTACACACCGAGGGTAGGGACATGATAAATATGAGAGGCAGGGATATTAAAGCCAAGGTTATTATTTGTAGACTCTGATGCATGTTTTAATTACGGTCATATGGTGGAATTAATAAAATAGGGCTTTTTCTCTTATTTTGCCACTAATGAAAACACCTTACCGGTAACATTATGAAAGATATATCATGTTTTAATTTAAATATAGCTTTGATAATACATTGAAAAGATAAGTGTGTCATGTAAGCATGTATTCAACTCCACATTTGACAGGATATTTGGACATATAGATGTCAGATACCTTAATCTTCCTCATTCTTACATGCACACACCCTTCCTGACACAGGGGCCTCCTGATGAGTGTCTTTTTATTCTTGCGATACTGTCATCTTTAAAGCGACGTGTCCATTAAGAGAAATGCTTTTCTGGAGCCGAAAGGGTTACTGACATCACCATTATCAAGGCCGGCATTACCACTTCTGTCACCACCATAAGCCATTCGCTATGCTGATTACCTCCTTTTAGCCTACTTACTCTGATTGATATGTACTGTGTGCAGGACTTGTAAGAGCATTCGCTCTCACTCAATTTTTACTAATTAAATCAATGGTGCGTGAATGTTAAGAATTTCTTCAAAATGCCAGAAAAAAATCAATTTCCCAGCCTTCTTTCTTTCTTTCTTTCTTGACGGTTAATGAATGAATATGATTAGGTTTTTACCTCATCCCTCTGACCTGCGTGTCATGTCTCTCTGCAGAACGCTGTGCGCCACAACCTCAGTCTGCACAAGTGCTTTGTGCGTGTGGAGAACGTGAAGGGGGCGGTGTGGACGGTGGACGAGATGGAGTACCAGAAACGCAGGTCGCAGAAGATCACAGGGTACGTTCTGTCACCTCTCCTTAGATCCAGATCTGAAGGTCAACCACATCAAGAGGAAATCAAAAAGCTTGAATTCTGTCCTCTTTGAAACAGTCCTCTGTGTCTGTTATGTACAGTATAGTCTTCCTGCGATGCAATTTGTTTCAATATTTGATATATTTTCAGCTATTATGTACGTTGACTAATTTATTTTCTTTCTTCTTATGTCTCCAGGAGCCCGTCACTTGTTAAGAACCTGCCCTGCAGTCTCGGCTATGGATCGGCGCTAAACGCCAGTTTACAGGTATGAACCTGTGACTCACCGGCTGCCTGTTTATTTGACTGACAGGCAGGAGTGCTGCCTGACTGATGAGTGACTGCATGAGCGTGGTTGCGGTGAACAATAGAGCCCTACATTAACACATATCAGAGGAAGTTTTTTTCCTAACTCAGGTTTCTGTAATCTCTCCCGCCTCCCTCTCTCCTCCTGTCAGACTCACTCGGCCCCCCTGTGGTCGAGTCAGGAAGCAGCTCTCCTTCTTTCTCCTCCTTTCTCCTCCTTTCAGCTGTGGCAGCCACTCCAGATTGATAGTGGCATGTGCGAATGCAAGGGCATGTGCATTAATATTTATCTAAGCTGTCATAAATGATTTGGCTTCATAGTGTACGCCGGCGAGGTGCTCATGGCGAAAACTTTAAAAATGTAATCACTGTATATAACTTTAATGCGCGGCAGGCGAAAGTGTCAGGAGTTTTTATTATTTTTGAGGTAAAGTTTTGGGGGACTTTTTTTTTAATAGCCACTCCACACAAGGGTATATACATGGCAGCTGGGGGGAGGGAGTTGTCAGCAAGGTGTCACAGGGGGGGACATAGCCGAATAAAAAACTTCAGCATGAGACAATCTGTGTTTAATCATTTAAATCTCACTCTCTCACCTGCTACGTTTTCCTCTTGTATCACTCTTCCTCTCACACTCTTCCTCCCTCCTTACACTCTTGGACTCTTCTACCACTTTTGACATGATTATGCCCTCGTGTCTTGACTCCCTACCTGCCTTTTAATCCTCACTATCTCCCTCCCCCCCTGCAGGCTGCCCTGGCAGAGACCTCCCTGCCCATGCTGGGGACCCCCGGCCTCATGAACAGCGGCTCCACGGGCCCCATGGGAGGCAGCTGCCACGGCCTCCTCGGCGGAGACCCCTCCATGCTGATGGGCGGGTGTCAAGGACTTTTGGGCGGAAGCCCACCGGGACTTTTGGGCGGCAGCCCCCCAGGTATGCTGGGCTGCAGCCCCACTACCCTGCTGCAGTCCGCCCATGAGGGACTCAACGGGCTTTACGACCACCTGGACACCAACGGACACGGCAGCCCCGGATACTCCCCCCCAGTACACATGTGAGTCCCCACACTGTACAAATACTGTATACGATGCAGTACATATATGAAAATCACATCATAATCAGGGCTCATTTTTCTACTGTTTCTCACACACACAAAATATAATTTGGTCTAAATATTATTAGATTTTTTGTTAAATGTCAAGAGAAAATAAGAACTCATTATCCTTTAAACTCAGCACCCCTCCCTGCTCACTCACTGCGGTGTTTGAGAGATAATTGTGTCACATCACATTTCTTATGAAACCTCTCTGAGAATGCGAGCACATGTTCCCCCCCCCCCCCACTCCTGCACTGAATCCACTCGATGTCCTCGTGCCCTTTGTTAGTGTAATTGCCTGATAGTTAACCCATAGTACCAGAGTGTTCTTCTGTATGCCATGACCCCGGGGCAAGGTTCAGTTTCCTGTGTGCGTCCTATCACAGCACCCCCCCCCCCCCCCCCCCCCCCTCCTGTCTCTGCTGTGCTAATTTCAATGGCACTGTGCTAATACCTGAGGAGAGCCTGACGTTTGGGATAACAGTTAGTTCTTAGTCTATAAATAGGCTCTATTACACATCCGTGTTTAATTACACCACTGTGTGCATTATAAGGGTTTAGCTGCCATATTTTATGCAAGACTGTTCCTATTAATAATGAGCTAGTGTAATTACTTTTTTTAAAATCCCTCCTTTTCCCATCTCTGTTTTAATGGAGCTGAGAGAGAAAGAGAGTGTTTTTAAAAAATGAATGCCATGTGAGTTTCAGGAAATGTCTGAGCCTGTGATGTCGCACAGGTCTGAAAGCAGCATGCAGGGAAACACACACACACACACACACACACACACACACACACACACACACACACACACACACACACACACACACACACACACACGCACTCTGAGACAAACAGAAGTTACACATTAGGGATTCTCAGCCACTGTCCATCACAGCTCATGTTGCAAAGTCAGGCTAACCACTCCTGTAATGGAGAAAGGATGCACTCGGGCTCCATGAAGTGAGTCTGAAGAGTGTTTGGTTAGTTCTTAGGCGTCCATACGTTAATCTGTACGGACGTGTTTACCCCGCTCTTAAATGGGGTGTGAAGTGGAGCAAATGTGCCCGGCTCCAGACAGAGTAGCACTCCCTCAGGTCATTCAACTTTTAGTAACCGGACAGCATTGCATTGACTTTCCCTTTTCCTGCTCCTTTCTCTCCTCTCTGGCCCTGACACTGACATGAGTGGCTGTGGAGGATGAGTCCCCCCCCCCCCTCTCCCCCTCCCGCCTTTACACAGCCACGACAACCTCAAAATGGAAGAAATGTGTTTTTCATGACTGCCTTTTTCCAGGATGTTGTCTTAAATAATGGAGTGGCTTGTAGCACTAAACTAAATAGTACACCACCGTTAAGGCCTTTCTCAGGAGAGGACCAGCAAGTCAATCCAACAATTAGACAAACCTGCCCCCCCCCCCCCTCCTCAGCGTCTGAAGGTTAATGCTATCTGCTTAACCGCAAAACCAGAGCGCCCCAGGCCATGCTGCGTGTGTGTGTGAGCATGTGCAACACACTGCTCAGGGCTATGCTTAAAAGAAGCGGCACCAGGACTCTGCCACTGTAAAACCAGAGGCTTGGAAATTAGCAACTTCACACAAAAGAGTGGAATATTTCCTCCCAGTCAGATTAAAGCAAGAAGAATCTGTTCCATATCACTTTTATTTCATCAGCTGTCTCGTCTAATTGTTTGGCGACCGCCCCTCTGTGTTAATGAATCGCAGTGAGATGTTATGAATGTATTTGATTGGCCCCTCGGTCCTCACCCCTTGCCTTCAACCTCCCCCCACACCACCTCTCCTGTCCCCCAACCTACCATTAAGGGCCGTGGACTAATGACCTTATTTGCATCCCTGACATACCTCTGCATGATTGCTGGTGCTAATCTGCCATAGATGTGAGCCCAGGCACCTCAGAGCACGCTCACACACACACACACACACACACACGCACACGCACACGCACACACACACACACACACACACACACACGCACACGCACACGCACACGCACACGCACACGCACACACACATACACAGAGACACACACACACTCGCACACGGACAGAGAAGCGTATTTATTGCGCCGCAATGTCCGGCGTTTACTCCTGAGTGACTCAGTAATGGCAGCTAGCCATTAAGCACTAAACGGCTCATCCACATATTTTAATAAAGTGTCAGAGCGCTCAGGCCGCTGGATGTGTTCCTGCATATTTTTCCTTCAGAGACGCACAAACACTCTATGAGCTGCAAGGGTAACAGAGGAGGGCTTTGGTTAGCAGTAATTAAATATGAAATAACACTTTAATGTGGTGGTAAGCATGTTAGTGTTTGTGTTTGTTTACAACACACTCCGGTGGGCTCCCATGAGTGGAGGCTGGTTTATAAACAGATAATTCAATATAGTACAATTCATAATTAAAAACTCCATGGAAGAAGTCAGAATAATTGACAAATACTGTACATTAATAATCCCTTTTAAAAGCGTTATGTAGTAGGTACAACCAACAAAAGGGACTGACTTTAATATTGATAACACATTTCTTTATGGAAAGAAAATCCAACCACTACCAATGTTGAGGTTTGACAATAAAACGTATGGCTAATCTTTCCTTTTTTACATCATACATTCATTTTTCTTTTCTTTTTGTATTTGTTTTTGTAATGTGTTATCATTAAGTATACAAAAATATTAAAAACACTTTTATTCCCATGAATCTGAGGGTCACAAACAGAAAAACATTCCTCCTGCTCAGATCAGCCCCCTCTCTTCACAATATTAATTTACAGGCTCTGAACATTAAAGTCATCTGTACCTTTTCAAATTCCTTTCAAATTCAAAGACCCTCGCCCTCCCCCCTTCCACTGATGAAGGCAGCCCGGGAGAGGCTGCGTCCTAACGTAGCACCACTTGATAACTCCCCCCCCCCCACACTCCCCCCTCTCAAAGTCTGCAGGGATCCTCCGATGCATCCGATGTGTCAGAAATAATTAGGTTTTGTCAGATTTATCATCGTGGCACAAACCCCTCTCTCGACTCGGCCCGCGGATCATGTACTGCCTTGTTTGTGTGTGACAGCATTATTATTCTTTTTAGTCGCCCAACACTTTTTTTTTCTCCCCCTTCCGCCCACTCCTCTGTTGTTCTGAAGGCAGAGTCGCTCTCAGCGCTGCCTCCTGCCCGCCGCTTATTGACAGTGGCTAAAGATATTCATCCATTTAGAGTTGAAAACATGTATCATGGTGTCCGAGCGAACTGCCGGGCTGAAGTTGATTAATGGCAGAACCTAGCTGCCGGTTTCTCCTCTCGAGGAGCGACACGCACGGCCCTGCATATTAACGAGTGGCTGCGCTTTCTATTAACTAGATAAAAAAGCCTCTCCTCTGCCTTTGCTCCAGGGGGCTCAGGGATGAGAAATTCTCCATTATTTATCATGTGGCCTGTTTCCCCCCCCCCCCTCCTCCCCCTCCTTTTTTTCTTCTTTTTCATGTATTTCAACCTGGTGTCATCAGTAAACTTTTAAATGCCAAACATGTCTGGAACATCACAGCTTATCGGCCTTACAGGGGCCGTGTTTTTTTCATGCAATTTTCATGCGCTTACTTACAGTAGACGTGAGGCATCGTGTCGAATTAGCGTCTCACAAACAACATGCTTGTTACTCTCACTAGATAATGCATGTCACGGCTGTTATGTGCCATTTTTTTGACACTACAAAATATTTATCTGTGAGCACAACACCACAGTAATTCCAAGAAACCCTCTATATCTTTTACTCTCTATAATTCTACAGCTGTAGTAATTAGCATGCTATTTAAAATGACCAGTGAGTTCAAAAAAGTGCTATCTTAAAGGTGCTTATTATGCAAAATCCACTTTTTCATGTCTTGTCTACATAACCATGTGTCCCCTCTGTGTAAAGAGACTCTGAAAGTTTCAGGAAAAAAGATTCTCTCTCTTTTTGTCCTGATCCCTTTATATAAAAACCTGTCTGAAAATGAGCTGATCAGATTTTGGCCACTTTATGATGTCATAACGTTTTTTTTGGGTTGTGTAACCATTAGCCAATCACCAACCAAGGTAACCCCCCCAACACCTTATCACCTGAATCTCCTCCTAGAGCACCATTGTGTTCTTTTTAACCAAATATCTTTCAGTGGGGCGTGGGGAGGGGCTCCTTATTTTCATCTAAAGTTACAGACACAGAATCAGCACTTTTGAAACAGGGCTGAAACAGAGGGGGTTATGGGATGCTGCAATGATCTGTTTGGTGTTTGGAGCCAAACACTTCAGAGACATGTTTTGTATATATCTGAGACCTGTAATAAAGTAATGAAAAACAGTATAATAGGAGACCTTTAAATCCAAATCTAACTTTTATGGTGCTTGTGTCGCAGGCCACAGATTCACGTGAAGGAGGAGCCGCTCCACATGGACGACGAGGACTGTCCGATGTCACTGGTGACGACAGCCAATCACAGTCCAGAGCTGGACGACGACCGGGAGCTGGAGGAAGGGAACTTATCAGAAGACCTGGAGTGACTAGGATACCGTTTTTGGCCGACGTATCCCTCCGCCCCGCCGCACTGTTTCTCCCACACAGACCTCCTGCAAGACTAAGAAACCACTCCACAGTCTCTCTGTGTCTCTCTGACTATTTATTGAGCATGCATCCGGATGGAGACTGGTCCAAAGGAACTCTTTGTCGCAGCCCTTTGGGAACAAGACAGGCATGAGATGTCTGATTAAAAGAAAACTTCATTAGAGATGGCGTGGCCACGTACAGTACAAGGATGATGGACTCAAGGATACTGGGAGAAAAAAAAACAAATCACGTTCCGTTGAAAGCTAGCGGCCTCATATACTGCCAAAAAGGACGACGTTTTATGTTTGTGAATAATCCAACCCCCCCCCCCCCCCCCCCAGTAGTTGTTCATGTCTAGAGACGATTGCTGGTTCAATTCAACTTGTTGCTCTGTTTTCATTTGCACAGGAGTAGTCTCAGAAATCCGTGTCACTGCCTGTATGTTGCTACTATTATGAATAACAGTATATTATTTTTTAGCTTCTTTTTCTTTTAACCATGGTTAATTTCAAAATCTGACACCACCAACTGTAAATGCCATTCCCTGAATCACACCGGAAATAACGGAAAACTGCGGATCCAAGACTGTTGTTGCAGCTGTCCAAAAAAAAAAAGAGAAAAAAAAAAGTTGGCTTCCAGTCTATTATCTGTTTGTGGTTAAAAGTAAAAAAAACTGGAAATTAAGTTGGGGTAAAATTACTAGTTTGTATAAAGCACCATTTACAAAACAGATGCATTTCCGCATAATTTTCCTCTTGCTGTCCTCTTTACCTCCTCGTTCTAAAGCTTTGTCTACCTGCAAACAGTCACAGGCAACAGCTAGAAACCAAAGCCAACACTAGCAATGGCCAATAGCTTATAGACAGAAGCCACCAAACTCCTCTTGGTCCGTCTTCTGCGACTTTAAACTAGTACAAAGAGAAGCTTTCGTTCCGCAAACTACCTTCGAATAACCTCTGGGATTGTTTCATTTAGCCCTATACAAAGATGATCACGAGACAGAAAGAGAGAGGGGGGAATAAATGCTGATTTTGATGTGTAATTTGATTCATTCCACTTTGGAGATTTTCTGCCAGAAATACTGTAGCTAAAAAAAGGTGATGTGATGTTGGTGACCGGTAGAGAGCAGCTAACTGTAAAAGTGGATCATGACCAAAACAAAACATTTGTGTATTCAATGGAAGTGCAGAAACATTGTGTTGTTGTGAAGTTTCTTTCCCTTTTTGTTACGCATTACACTTTAAGTTTTTTATTCCCATGATTTTTTTCTAACCTGGTGAATTTGTAATGTTCTAAGTGGGACTGTCAAAATAATGTCACGTCTTATTTCCGTGGCGGTTTTCCGAGGCCGCGTCGAAAACTGAAAACATCGCTAACCAAACATGAAAAATATCTAGTGAAGCCAAATAAGTCATAATTTCAAGTTGAGAGGAAATGGCTTGGTTACCATGTGAAAGCAAATAATAATAGCCATTGCAGAAGAGGATATCTAAGGTGAAGGTGGTATTTGCTTTAACGTCATCGAATACTCATCGTGTGGTTCATAGCTTCTAAACTATATAGATACACCTGGTGTCGGCACTGATGTACTCTGTATGGGTAACCAGCTTTTTATAACACACTTGGTATCTATAGAGACTAAAGAAATATAGTGCATCCCGTCATTTCCCTCACAGTCATCTAGAAAAGTGTTGTTGCTTTAAAGGTCATTTCTGTTTTCAGTAAACCAAAGTTACACAAAGTTCTGCCTCCTCTTGTACGGGATAAAGAAATGCTAAACCAACCACACACACACACCCTGTCAGAGCCTAGCATACATGTGCGCGGACACACACACACACGCAGACCCTGAGCTTTTGGTCTGCCCACCTCCTCGTTGGGTCCGGCTGCAGAGGATGCTGTCAGAGAACCAGCGAGTGGCTTTGCATTGTGCTGTAACGACCAAAATGGAAACACTGTGCATAGTTTGTTTTCAAGTGTTGCGCCGAGCCCAGGGATTGGCTGTAAGAGCTTAACACGCAGACACGTGCAGTACTGTACAAACACGCAGCATGTAAAGTACACACACACTCACACACATGCCAGTACCACGTCAAGAGGGCCCAGGAACAAAGCTTATCCCTTCAATACTTTAGCTGGAGACAACAAAACGACTTGAAGACGACGTTCTTAATAATCTTACCACACCAAATAAAAAGGACGCTGCGTCTTTCAAAAAAAAAAAAAAAAGACAAAAAAAGGGTTCTCCCACTTACCCAAAAAGGCTTTCTAAAAGCTTCTACCTCTGCACAACAAAAATTCAGAACAATTATGACAGATTGCACGAGTTATTAGAGCGCCACAAGAGCTGTTACACTTTGCTTGTCTCATAGGACGTGGCTCAAACCAACGTTTACATTCCCTGCGTCAAGATATGGAAGATTTGCATTGTAATAGGTTGTCCTCAAACATTTGTAGAATGATAATGTATAGATTACCTGTAAGGGAATATTGTGTTTTAAAAATGCATGTCTAAAAATCATTTGGTGGACTGGAAACAAGAACCAATAAAAAGAATATAATAAAAATCATCGGGACGATGGCCTAAATGTACAATGCATAGGAGTGCGTTACCTCAGATATACTGTTTTGGGAGGGATAAAACCTGTCAGCCACAGAATGCATATTACCTGTAGATTTGCATGGGTTTTGTATAAATTAAGTAAAAAAAATGTCTAAAATAGTTGCTTGCACATAATACCAGAAAGACCTCCAGAACTGCGATCTGCTCCTCCACTAGATTTTAGGATTGTCTGGATTTTCTGGGTTGATTTTGTCTGTATTTTGATAACTGTGCATACTTATGTAAAAAAATGTTGGTGGACCCATACATTTACCAGACTTTTTTCTAAGAGGAAAAAAAATCTCAGTGTTTCTTTTCTGACTTACCTGAATTTTTACTGTTTCTCTCTCATTGCTCGCTAAGAATAGCAAACCTGCTTTTTCTGCATCTGCTTTGCGTAGCTGTAAGGCTTAACCTAATGTGTGTATTTATTGCTTGTACCTCTGTGCATACTTTATGAAGCATTATGTCTGGCAGTTGAGTCATGTATCCTTTCTACTGCTATCCTTCTCTAATAATTGGGAATATGATCCCCCTATGTATACAGTAAATTGGGACTGTAGCAAACATATGTTTATGTAATTGGTGAATTTATGTTTTTCTTTCATTTCCTTTCGAGATTCAACTACTTTTTTTGATACTCTTCATTACTGTGTACTGTGTCCATACGTTAAAGGTTCTCTGACATTAGAAGGTCATGGTTGAGAATTGTAACAGACGTTATTATTTTCTGTATTCATGGCATTTCACTGCTGAATAAAATAAAGGACCAAAACTTGGAATTTGAAAAGCAACTGTCTACCTCCAGCATCAGAGAGTACCCTTCTTTCCCTCCACTGTTACACATACATTCTACAAAGGCACAGCCATGAAAAACAAGCACACTTTTAACGTTTCAGGAGCTTCAGAGATGTGAAAGGAAAAAAAATAATTAAAGTTTAATGTATATGTTACAAGGCTTTGTTCCAGCTTCCAGCACCTAGAGTCTTGTTTAGAAGAGCGGGACGAGGCACCGCGTTGCCCGCCCCTCTGGACCTGTAATGGGTTTAGCCTTTGTATGATTCAAGCCCACTGCTTTCATGTAGCACGAGCGTGTCCCAGTATACACTGCTGTGTACCTCTGAAAGGCTTTTGTAAGGAACGGCTTCATTTTCTGAGCTACAAACTGCAAAAGTGGTTTTGGCGCACACCACATTGTTAAGTCTGTTGTCATGCAAAAAATATCGGCCTTATTAACATCAGGGCTCTGCGTCATGTAGGGAAAGAAAAAATATTTCATCAGACGTCCTCCATTTTCCATCCGTCAAGACGGCAGTTTCCTCTTGACACTTCAAAAGAAAGAGAAAATACGCCTCTTAGCCTTTCGATGGATGGATGTTGATGCTATGACAGGCCGTGTGGCTAAATCAACTCCAGCAGGCCTACCACACCTTGTCGGTCATGGAGCAGCCGCACACTGACACCCTCATTGAGATTCAAACTACATCTACCATGACCAATAGGTTGCCCATTAGCTCGTCTGTATGCCGAGAGCCGTCTACACGTTCCAAAGGCTGCTCTGGGACACCGTGGGACCCTTTGAATCATGTCCGCTGGTCATTTAATCGTAACGCTGATGCATGTTCTTTCTCCTTACCATATGATGTCCCATGAGAGGTCAGAACAACAGTGTTTTTCATAAAGCCACACAGACACATTTCTCTTTCCTCCCCCCCCCAATGACAGTCCCAGGCATCAGCCATGGCAGGCTCCTGTTATCTCCTCAGCAATGGCGTTCCAGAGCATTAGATAGCTCGCGAGGCACTCTTCTTTCGTGCTATTTATGCACTTGGAAGTGTTTGTGAATTCAAGTGAGGGATCGCATACGGAGCGCAACAAGGGCCGCTGTGTACTACACAACATCAGAGGAAGCTCCGACATTAAAGTGTGAGAGCGCCTGCTATAGACCCTTCTTTCAAAGGCCATGAAATAATAATGGGTTGTGGTTAGAGAGGTATCCGTGAGTCACACTGGCTGCTTTTCATAAAGTGGAGTTATTTACAGTACGATGAATAAAAGAAAGGGTAGCTGGTGGTGCAAGCCTTTTCCACATGAATGGCGGAGGGAAAAGAAGTCCCTTTAATATACAGTGGCAGAGCAGTATACTTCATGAGAGGCTGGGAAACAGAATGCACCGACATTCAAGTTTATTTATTGGGGGGGTTTTATGAAGCAATAGTTAAACATTTTCTGAAATATGTTTATTCACATCGAGACTGTCATGGTTTTGAGTTTGCCTTCTTTTACTTATCATAATTCTTTTGTTTGTGTTTTAACTCAGCTGTCTTTTCAGACCAGGCCACTCCAATTTATTGTCAGTAGATTAACTCCACCTGTTCCTCCTCTCCACTCACCTGCTCATCATTCCATAATCAATTCCTTAGTATACAAACGGTCCATTTTCACCTGTCTGCTGCCTGATTGTCTTCATGCCATGTGCCGTAGTTCTATTTCGTCCCTACTGACCGCCAGAGGCGGTGCTTTTAGCACTGGATATGTCCATCGTGCGCATGCGCAGTACGAGTACCAATATCAACAAAGTCACCTGTGACCCACGTGACACCGGCTATATAGCCCGTGTCATCAGAGGATCTGTTCCTTTCATCTTCTCGCTGCGCGAGAGTACCGTGGCTACACTATTGTAGCCTACAGCGTTCAGTTGGAACGTTTGGATTTAAGGATTTCTCTGCAT